ACAATACATGATTCACCAATTGGCATATTTCACAAACTCAATCATTAAAATAAAAGTTAAATTAATATTATTATAATTTGTTACGGATTAAGTCCATTCCATCTGTTTCGGAAGACTTTTCGTTATTGAGCTAGACTGTTCACATTCACACAGAATATTTTGTGGGACTTGGTTATTTAGGCTCAGAGGACCTCAAAACGTGTATTTCCGTTGAAAACTCAGATTCAGAAATTTTCATAATCGTAATACTTTCCCTTACTATACGTGAAAGTAAAACATATTCACGTATGGTTTCCTTATTTTAGGTTATAGATACTATATTCATAGTAAATGAGAACTAAAAACAAGTCTACTCTGCAGTTAACAAATAGGTCTTGAGAAAGTAAAGTAATGGCTTTGTTTAAGTTGAAGAATAGCTATGTCTTATTGCTTAACTGTTAAACTGGACGAATAATTTCCAGTATGATGAGCTAATCACTTATTAAGTAAGTTGCTGCTTTAAAGACCCTCATAAAGTATAAAACTTTAGCAATTGGATGAGTTGAACAAACTATCTCGCTAATATTATATTGTATACATAAATAAAGGCGTTTCTCTATTAATGCGTGATTTTTCAGTGAGGCTTACTAGTAATTATAATAATGAAGCGAAATTTGAAAGCAAAAATTTGGAAACAAGGTAGATATTTTTTTAAATATTTATATTTTTTAAACATTTTTTTTTAATTTATTATGGATTCACATTTTCATCTGTCTATAACTCAAAAAGTACACAAATGGTAATGCACTATTTTCTTTGGTAAGTATATTTACAAGTGGCTGTACCAATATATAAGAGTTAAAAAATTGCTAATTCATTTGAGTTTTAGTGCCTAGTTATTTATTCCACATAACCGAGTCCATAAGAAACGGGCACATATACCAATAGTATCACCATGCCCAGTCATAAAAAAGCAGTGACTACTGAATTTATTGCCTCATTTTATGACAGACGTAAGACTTATTTACAGATCGCTGATGCAGGAGGAGGCTTACCCAATAAAATTTGTTTTTTTTTCTCTCTCTGTTTGTCCCCTTACCGGGATGTAAAAAGGGTAATTCTTGTTTACTTCTCCCAATGTTGACAGTCTGAATGACGAATGATGATAAAAAAGAAAAATTGGGTCTGGCAAATATCCCCTTTTATAGGGCGCCGAACAAGTATCCGAGTAGAGGAAACACAAGTAGTATTCGAGGAAAAAAGTTTTTTCACTGCAGAATCTAAATATGTGTGGGTCTTTTTATTTTATTTATTTGACATTTTCACCGGTGGTTATAGATGGAGGTGGTGTGTTCTGATCATTCGGAAAAGTTTATACATAAAAGTAATGAATGATCACTTATCATTAAATGAATTATGTGTATGACTTGAACACTTGAAAAAAAAAAAATTAAATCACTTTCATTTGCCTGAAAACATGTTTGACTTAAAATTTACAAAACATGAGTTTCCTGGTTGTCTGTATGAAATAAGACCATATAGTAACTTTTTTGTAGAGTTTCAGGTCTGTCTGTTGTCACGTATTATCAATCATATGAAATGACTGTCAATCTGAACTTCATATCAATATCACGAAATTCCCAATTGATTGATATCGTGATTGAGTTTTTTACCAGTTATTTTTTAATAATAAAATAAATTTATTTATTGAGCAAATTTACAAATGCCTTATGGCATATTTTGTAAATGTGATGTTCGTTTGCGAACCTACTCTTCGGGATTAGAGTGAATGCGGGATTGGAGAAACCTCCCAGTGAAGGCACTCCTAACGTGACTTAATGCAGCAGGTCCTTGCTCCAGAGGCGTTTGAATCTCCTTCGTGGGTTCTGTGGTAGTGTATCTGTTAGTAATGTTTGTACAAGTGGATTAGGATGTCCAGCTAAGGAGTCATGAAAATTTTTGTAATATTTTTTAATTACATCAGTCACTTGTGGTGTTTGTAGGTCTTTATGAAGTGATTTATTGGTTATGTAGAAGGGACAATGAGTGATATAACGGAGAAACCTAGATTGGAAAATTTTAAAAGTCTGTAAGTGAGTTTTTTTGCATGAACCTCACACCTGAGAGGCATACGTCCATATTGGTCTGAGTAGCATGTTATATATAGTAATTTTGTTAGAAAGTGATAGTTAGTTTTTATGGTGTAGCATTCGTCTTAGTAGTGACAATCGATGGTTCAATATCTTTTTTAATGTAGTCACGTGTGATTTCCAGGTCAGTCGCCTGTCCATTGTGAGTCCTAGATATTTTGTCTCTGTATGATTTGGCAAAGGGGTATTGTAAAGTGTCAGTGGAGGGCAATCCGAACGTTTAAGCATAAATGTAACTTAATTTGATTTTTGAATGTTAATTTTTATGCGCCATTTATCAAGCCAGTCTCGTAGAAGATTTAAATGAATCTGTGCTTTCTGAGATGCTGTGATCGGATTAGAGTCAGTCGAGAGTATGACAGTGTCGTCTGCGTAAGTTGCGAGTAATGTGTCTGGTGTCTGTGAAATATCAGAAGAGTAACTTGAATACAGAACCGGACCTAAAACACTGCCCTGCGGTACTCCCGCGCCGATTCGACAATAGTCGGAGTATTTACCATCCTGGTTAACAATAAAAAATCTATCCTCAAGATACGATCTGATGATTAAATAGTATGTATGCGGAAAGATCGGTTTAATTTTGCAAAGTAGACCATCATGCCACACTTTATCAAAGGCCTGTGAGACGTCTAAGAAAGCTGTTGTGCAAAATTCCTTCTTTTCCAATGCCACAGCAATTGTATCAATCACTCTATGACATTGTTGTATGGTAGAGTGTGCAGGTCTAAATCCAAATTAGTGATTAGGGATAACATTTTCTAAAAATGGATAGAGCCGTTTTAATAATAATTTTGCAAATATTTTGGAAAATAAGGGTAAAAGACTGATAGGCCTATAAGACGTGACTTGGTCAGAAGGTTTGCTTGGTTTTGGTATCATTTTTATGATTGAAAATTTCCATACTAGAGGAAAGTAAGTAAGTCGAAGGATAGAATTGTAAATAGCTGTCAGGAGGATTAATGCTTTTTTGGGTAGAAGTCGTACAATTTTAGGTGTGATTAGATCAAAACCAGGAGATATTCTGCGAGGTAATTTTTTAATACAAAATTCTATGTCCGAAGGAGTTATAGGGGGAGGAGATAGAGAAAGGGGAAGAGGAGAAATGAGGATTTGTTGGACGTCTGAACAGTGCTGTTGATCAGGCAAGTCTTCATGTGGATGAAATACGTCTTTAAGATGAGTAGCAAATAAGTCTGCTTTCTCTTTATCGCTTCTTGCCCATGAGTTGTCTGGTTTACGGAGAGGAGTCTTTGTTTGGTGGTACCCTAGTATCTTTCGGATTTGTTGCCAGAGAGTATTGTTACTTGGCTGTAAGGTGGTTAGATGTTTTTTGTAAGTTTCGTGTTTGTATTGTTGTATAAGTTTTCTAAATTTGTTAGAAAGTGCGTATAGTAGCTGTTTGTCACTGGGATAGCGATATCTTTTCTATTGGTTGAGAGCACGTCGTTTTTCAATTAGAAGTGATCGTATTTCCGGGGGTAAGTAATGTTTGTCGCGGTTGGTCTCGTACTTTTGTGCTGATTGCCAAGCGGCAGTTTGTACAGTCTTAGTAAGTGTCTCTACTGCATTGCCAATATAAATGCAGATCAATTGTCTTATTAATAATGGAATGCAATTTATCAATTAATATTGGCCTAGGAGTTAGTGTAGGTGTGTGGTTGGTAGTAAACATGTGTCTAGAGAGACATAAAATAACCGCTGAATGATCTGATGATAAGTCGTTACTAATAGAGATATGATGGTGTAGTGTGTTTAGGCTAGAAGTTATAAAGAAATCAAGTAATTCTGGTTGACGGTTTATGTCTGTCGGCCAGTACGTCGGTTCAGGTGGTAGTATGCAGTTATAGTCTAGTTCTATACATGTATTAAAAAGAGCGTTTCCTCTAGAATTATTGGTCCTATTGCCGAAACGGGGATGTTTGGCGTTAAAATCTCCTCCACATAAAAATTTAGGTCCTAAGCTGGCAAGTATGTCTGTAAACGTTTCCTGTGAAACTCTTTGTCTCGGAGGACAATATGCACTGGCAATAGAAATTTTGGTGTGATCGATTTCAACCGAAATAGATGATAATTGAATTTCTGGTAAGGCAGTCATTTGAAGAGGATAGTGGTATAATGTTCGTTTTACGACTATTGCCGAGCCACCACGGGCAGTACCGCTGGGATGGTCAGCGCGGTACACTTTGTATGTAAAATGTTGTGGTTTGAGTAAAATAAGTTTCTGTTAGTAATGCAATGTCAATGTCATTTTCATGTAAATAAGTGTCAACTTCATTCCTTCGGTGTAGGGCTCCATTTGAATTCCAAAGAAGGATTTTTAGAGAGTGTTGTGAGATAGAATTAGGGACTAACATGAGGAATAAATTTGGTAATTAGCGTGATGAGAAGAGTGATGAGTGGAGTTATCATATATTTAAAATCATTTAAGAAGGAATTAAAATGTAATGAGAGATCTGGAGTATTAGGTTGTGTATTAGATGTTGAGTGATGAGGTCTTGAGTATGAGGTTGACGTGTATTAATGCGGTATGTATTGAGATTGGATATAATGAGGTACTGAACGGTCAGGTGAGGAGATATATTTGAAGTTTGGGGATCTGTAATTTGAGGAGTCGTATGATGAGGAATGGTATTGTGATGCATTACATTGTGAGGAGATATATTTGAAGCTTGGGGTTTTGTAATTTGAGAAGCTATATGATGAGGAATGATATTGTGAGGGATGACATAACGAGGAGATTCATTTGAAGTTTTAGGATTTGTAATTTGAGTTGTATGATGAGGAGCAATATTGTGAGAGATTGCGTAGTGAGGAGTTACACTTGTCATTTGAGCAGTTTTGAATTATGGTGTTGTGTTGTGATATGTAGTTTTAGTACACGTTGCCTGTGCGTAAGTCATGTTGTGTAGTTTTTGCGAGATAGGGACGTGTTAGAGTAAGTCGGTCGTGTTCCGCCTCTGGAGGCAGGTGTTCTGTTACCTCTCTACTCGAAGTGGCCTGGCTCCACACATTGAGTCTTCTTTTCTGCAACTCTAGATGCACTAGGCATCCCCTATAGTTCGCAGGATGACTGCCACTGCACAACGCACAAACAGGTGGCTCTTCAAGTAGTTTCTGGCACCTATCACTAGGATGATCTTGACCGCACTTCACACATCGTGGTTTATGATGGCAAAATGTTCTGGTGTGTCCGCATTCTTGGCATCTCATACATTGAACAATATTTCTTCTTTTGTAAGATTCTTCAATCCTGACTTTTGTATAAGCCAAATTAGTGATATAAAAACTTCAGCATTATTTGGAGCTGGCTCTAAGTCAACAAAGAAGAGTGGGAGTGGTTCTTTTGATCTCGGGTGTAACACATTAGAGATGAGACGGATGTTGAATCCTTTTCTTTCAAGATCATATTTTATCATTTCATGTGGTGTTGAATAATGGAGATTTCTAATAACAAACCTATATGGTTTGTCTTCTTGAGATTGATTAGTGTGAAAGTTGTAATTGTTGGTTTCTAAATATTTAATGCAGATTCTATGGCCTTCACTTGTTTTAACTTTTAATGTAACAATCGATTTGTTAGAAAAACATTCAAAATTGTTTTCTCCTAAAAGGCTTACTAAATTCGTGCATAGAGTTTGGAAGTTTGTTATACCTTTTATTTTAATTGGAGGTGGTTGATGAGCAACTGTTGTTTCGTCAGGTTCGTCTTCCATTTCGGTAGAAAGAGGTTCAAACCTATTACTGACCGGAACGTTAGGGATACTATTTATTGTTGTTGGCGTATTTGTTGCATTTGAGCTCTGAACAACATTTTCTGGTACTTCAGTGTTGTTAGCATCATGTTCTAGTATAGATTCAATGATATGTGTCGTAGAGTTATTATTTCCAATAATTAAATTATTCCTTTCAGTATTTGTGGAGTTAGGGAGGTTATGTTAATTAACATATGTTTGCTTTTGGTTAGGATTTTTTGATGTAGTTTTTATCACAGAATTGTTTGAATTCGCTCTCTTTTTATCATTTGCCCCGTCTTTCGATGAAATACTTGAATTGGATCTTACCTTTCTCTTCAGCAGTTTTGATAAAACGGCCTGATCCGACAATCCACTCGAGCCAGCTGGCCTGCACTCATAAGTAAAGTGTCTGTTTTAACTTTAAAAAACTATACAAACCGATTATGCCTTTAAAGAGAACACATTTTCACTATAAGACACATAACAAATACAAGAATTCAATAATTTACAAGAAGAAGAATTTTTTTAGCAACGGCACTGTTCAATCGTAACAGCTTTACCAGTTATTAAGGGGAGATTAATTCGGACAAGTTTTATCGTTATATTACGTTTTTCAGTATATTTTCTCTAGCTTTTACGTTTTTTTATTGATTAATATTACATTTGGTCACAATTGAGCACATTAGTAATAATGATAGATTAGCTCATTCACACTCTATGCACAATTACAAATAAAATTAAATGCCTTTCACAAGAATGTTGTCCTGCGGCCTCTCTGGAATCGAAAGAAAGTCCAGTTGGCGAGGAAAAGGGCCTTGAGTCCATAATTTGACTGTAAGATCAGCCTAGGCGAGAATAAAACAAGTGAAAAAGTTTACCAATTAACCAACTTTTGCTCGAAAGCCATCCACACCACGTACCCAGAGATGCTGCTGACTGTACCTACGAATTTTTCTCTTGCGAACGGGGCACAACAGCCTCAAAGCATAGCTGTTCAGAAAGTTAAACATTTGGCTCTAGTCCCCTTTGCAAGTTTGGTGAGGGTCATGTAATTTATCATTATGAAATGATATGATGTAATGTATATATAAAAAAAGTAAAAAAAGTGTGGCTAGGGTGAAGAGAAGTAGGATCTACTCCCAGCAAAGGAGAGTGATCTGGTCCTCTTTAATTGAAGTGGAAATAAAGCTATACGAATGCCTGGAGAACCTGAGGAGGACTACAGATTTTTCATATTATTTCCTGACCTGGAAGGAAAAACGCAGAAGAAGAAGAAATTAAATAGTTTTGTTATAGGAATACCATTGAAAGTTATTGAAACCTTTCCTCCACTCTTCTAATTTGTAAAAAGCGCTTACAACAGTTTTTAACTTCCTGATCTTAGATCTTTCCAGCGCCTGTGTTTTGGCAATATAAGTAAATTAATCATTCAAATATATAAATTACATTTAGTTTATAATTTTATCTTTATATATTATTTTTAATGATGAGATTAGAATGTCTTTAATTTTTTTTTATTAATTAAAATTTTAACCTTTGATAAAAATAAATTAAATTTGTTATTTCATAATCTTTTAAAAATTTATTTATTGAATAATATAACAATCTGTCACATGAACATTGGTTATAGGGAGGTAAGATATTCGCACAATACGTACAAAAATATATATAAAATGATGCAAATAATAAGCAAAAAGCATATACAAAAATAGAATAAAATAACTTAAAGATAAATAAATTAAAGAAAAGAAAAAAAATACACATATACTTATATACACTATTTACAATCAGGCGAACGAATTCCGAGACAGCTACTCTCTCGGAACAGCTTCACTGGAATTAAAGCTAGTGGAGATTGATCGAGAGTGATTTAACGACATACACTCATGCCTTGAGTGGAGAATCTGACCATTGCTAGAATTCTAATTTGTATAAACTACAAAAGACCGCGGGGTCACTGCCGTCTTAACGTTTTTGGAGGATAATAGGAATGAGTTGTGCTTCAAAGGGATTGTGCAAGAGGTTTTGGATGATAAGTAGTGTTGACCACAATCAGTCTTGGTCTTACAGTTCGCAAGACCAAGACCAAGACTGGTAAAAAAAAAATCGATTTTTTGAATAAAAATTAAGGCAAGATAGTTACTAATACTTGACACTTTCTGTTACTATATGTAAAGAATTGGTATAGCGAACATCCTTTTTCATTTTACTCTTCTAATATTTCTTTCGAGCTCAGTTGGGTTTTTCCCATCTAAAAAATTACAGTATTATATCTATAGTACTAAGCTCATAGGTAACTAAGACTAAGATCAAGACCAACACTAAATACGCAAGACCAAGACTCGTCTTTGTCTCGCATTTGGGCAAAACTAATGCTAAGTATGGTTCTGACGAAATTTCGAGAATTTTTCTGGGATAAGGACTAGGACAAATGGAATTTTGAGGTCATGGCTTAGGGTTTTGTTGGTTATATAAAAATGAGCATCGGCTATTGTTCGAGGGACTTTGGACTGAAAGGATTGGAAGAGTTTGATGTTAGAAAATTTTGCTGTCCCTCACAATTTTAGTCCGTAAGTCGAAGCAGGACAATATCGTCAGTTTCAGTGTTGTCTTGTAGATCAGTAATTTGCTTTCAAAAGAAATGTATTCATGAAGATTTATGATTTATTTGAACTTAAATTAAATTTATTTCAACTCTCTTGAAACTTCTTATTCAAGAACCTGATCAAACAGCGAGCAATGAATATTTAAAATGTATTGTTGTAGGTAACTTTATTTTGTGTGCACAACTCGCTGAAGTACTCAAATATTTGGGCAAAGTGATATAATATGCTCATAATACGGGAGAATTGTTTTCGTCTTAAAGGGTCGAGGTGCGGGAACAATGTAACGGGAACATTGTGATGTATTAAGGAAACTTTGCAGGCCAAAATGAAGGTATTAATATTGAATTAGGAAATCAATGTCATTTCGAAGAAATTGTTTTATGTAAATCCTTTCTATTCTGTTCTTTAGTGCAATATTACTGTATCTCCATAAGTTACTAATTAATATTTTACAAATAACAGTTACAAATAGCGAAATCTTTAATCTGTACCTGGGGCTCTGAAACCGGGGAATTTGGGTAATCGCGTCTTGCTAAAACTTGTATATATATATATATATATAAAACAGGAATTATTTATTTTTTACAGTTAAAGTAGCAACCAAGTTTAAGTAAATTTAATTGTAAATTAAAATATGTAAGATACATGTGAACTACTAAATAGCATGTATGCCCTGCCATAAAATTGTTACTTTTTATAGTGATTATTTTGCCTATTGGCAAGAAATGAATTAATCAAAATTAGTCATTGAATGGAAATTTATTTCATCTAAGTGCTAAATGTAACTACCTAGATTTAGTTGAGTACCATTGACCAATCTTATTGTATAAAATTTTGTGACTTACCCAATTTCTTGATTAAATAATATATTGCTAAAGATGGGAACGAAGCTTTCCTCGAAACTTTCAAATAAATATGCAATGGAAGACCGATTTTGATTCACTTATTTCTGACGAATAGGCAAATTAATCATTATAAAAACAACAAACGGCAAACCTGCGTAGTGAAACTTTTTTAATACAAATTTGTCGATTTATTGCAAAAAGTCATTAACAAATATTTCATTATTTTAAACCAGTAATTACTTTGATTACTTTACCATTTTTAATTCAATAGGAAACCACACTCTGAATGCTGTTGAAACCTATCGGTATTTAGGTATTCTAATTACAGAAAATAACGAAATTGAACTGAAGAAAGGAGATCAGCTGGGAAAAGATGCTTTTGTTCATGAAAAAACACCGAATCATAGATCCTTTTAATATAGGATAAAGATCATTATGCATGAGAAAGTCATTGGATCCATCGTTACATGTGGTTCTGAGCGTTAAGTAAGGGGACTGAAAGGAAGCAACTTCGCTACCAAGCTAGCTTGTGTGAACTTTTCAATAGTGAGGGGTAACCAAATCAGATGACGAGGTCATGCGGAGTCTATGCACAGATACTCAAATCAGAAACACTTGCTAGAGGATTGACTTGTTGGAATAAATGACAGAGAAAAACCATGCTTAAAATGAAAGACGTGGATCTCCTTAAAAGTATGCGAATACGAGTAAGGCAAATGTACACGCGGGGTAGAAAGGGGTAGAGAAAAACAATAAGAGAGACCCAAGTTCTTTCAGGATCGAATCCTCAAAAAATAAAACCTTATAAATTATTCTGATGAATTCTTCCTCTGTAACATCAGAACATTGTACACTTATTGTAAATAAATTTGATACATCAAATAGTATGTGTCATTTTGAAGTACTTAATGAATTTTTGAACCGACAAATTAGGTTAAAATTCACATAAAGTTACTTAAAAGTAGAACTCCACCACAAATTTAATGGGTGAGATTTTTCTTCAAAATGACGATATATGAATACATCTGGAAACCAAAGATGTATTATCTAACCTCCAGGTAATTTGTGTTCAGAGTAAAATAATATTCGTTGATATAAATCAGAACTAGACCTAAATAGCTGGAAGGTTTTAAAAACAAACATATCTCGGTAAAAAGATAAGAAGGTCACATATGTATGGACAAATAAAGAAAATATACGCTGCTATGATTTGTGAGACATGGTGCAAGTTCAAAGGTGATATATTAATGTATTCTTATTGATCTATTTTTCTCTATAGCAATGTTTGAACCAGGTCCAGTTTATCGAAAAAATATTGCGCACACATGTGTTTTAGACAATGATTTTTTATGTATCAAACACACAGATCTTTATTGAGAATATATCGCAAATTAATTGCGAAATGTATAATTTATTTATTTGTTGAATAAACGAAAGGAAATAATCATTAGGGCTAAATGCACCCACTCATAAAATATATTAATTGTTATTTATAAAATAAATACAAAATTCTGTACTTACTGTGACTACTTTTATAATACAAATATAATAGGTGTTTATCGGGAAATGAGATGGTAGACAAAACTGCGAATCAAAATCAAGTCCATCTCATAAATGCCAAAGTTCCATTATTGGACTTGATGAGAGTAGGGAAAGAGAACGAAGGCATAGCAGCATTTTCACGACTTGTAATGTGCCTCGAAGCTTAAGGACCACCACGCAGTTCATCCTAAGATAGCCTTGACTCCAAGGTTTGCGGCACTTAAATTTCACCTTGTCCTTCCTATCTTACTAAAGCTTACCAGGCACAGAATCAACCACTGTAGAACAAATAAATTTCTACATGTAATGGGTAGCTCTAAGAGAGGCTACTGCCCAACATGCCAATGCCTGGAGGATCGGTAAACGAAGGACAATTGTTTTAGGATCGCAAGTTGTGATGATAGTATTATTTATCTTAGATCAAGCAAAAAAGATAATGATTCGGACAATTCTTAAAGGAGATGAATGCACCTATTCAAGTTCCTTGTGCGAGGGTGAGAGTTTTAATTTAGGTATTTATTTAGTTATTTAATGAAAAACGTTTGTTGTATTTGTTTTGTACTAAATTGTATTTAGTTCTTGATCTATATATTTGTAATTGCTTTGTACGATTCATCTTCGGGATCCCAAGAGACGCCCCTGTTTCCTGTTTCTGTGAAGAGTTGAAGTGGTTTTATCCTTCCAACCGCCGTAAGTATTTCCTGGCATCCTTCCTCTTCCAAGTAGTTCACTCCCGCCGTCCTTCATACATCGCCGAGCTCCATCAATTTAAATCCTCTGTCCACGCCCGCAGTACCCGTTTCCGGTCATAAGATCTATATATAATGGCCCACCGAACCGCTGCTTTCGATAAATCATTTGTTATTCGATCCTCTTCCCTATGGAACTCCATCCCTTCCCACATACGTCAATCCAAAACCCTTCCTACCTTTAAATCCCAACTGTTTAATCATTTCTTATCCATTCAGTCCTCATCATAAAATTGTATATAGTTACTACCGTAAATATGTATATAAA